ACATCAAATGATTTTTATCCCTAAAACTGGGGCCAAACACTTATTCTCCCCCAGGTATACCCCCAAGCTCTTTTGCCCCAAAATAACTTGAAAAAAGAAAAGAGAAAAACAAACTGCAGTCTCTGATAACTGACCTCCGAGTCTGAGGCAAACAGATGCACACAGACAGACCCCTGTTACTCTCCAGGACACAAGAATCAAATCAACACCTTAAAACGTGATTTTTATTACAAAATAAAAGATATTCTTGAGAGAGCATACTTGTCTGCTAGATGTTACAGAGCAATTAAAGAAAACAAATTAAAACCCTGGGAACAATTCTTAAATGGTAAAGCGGGGAGGGAAGGCATAGATTCACACAGAGCAGTTCAAACCAAACCACAAAATAAAAATACCTTGATCCTGACTAGATTAATTTCCCCTATTTTCCTTTATTTTCCTTTACCTATTCCTGGTCTTCTCTTGGTTCAGTCCACTTCCATGCCTAAAATTCCTTGTAGGCATGGTAGTCCTGCACGGGTTTAAATTATTCTCTGTGTCTCAACTCCTGGTTTAACTCTCCCTCACAAAGAAAAAGCAGGCAAAGTGTCTATATCCAATTCAAATTCCAGCACCTTATCTCAATTGGTACTCCTGGCCCCTCCTGCCAACCCCCTTGCTAGCTGAGTTTAATCCCTTACTAAGGGTGCTGGTCAGCACTCCTATTATCTATTATACCTTGCCTGAAAGAATTAGCATGACCCAAGATGACAGTCCCAGACAGAAACTCTTTGCATCCCTGGTTTGCTGGGTTCTATTATCCTGGCACTGGGAGGAATAACACTGATGTGCTGAATACAGCTGTACATTGCTCTGCATGATGATTGCTAGTGTACTATGATTTGGCCAATGTACAAGTCCATGTGGCAAGCTGTTGGGTAGTCAGGCACCTGAGCGGGGAATACACTTGCACCATGGCTGTGACTTTAGCACTCACTTCTCATCTGCTTGGATGCCCCGCTTTCCCAGTGCACCTCAGTGCTTTATCAGTACACTTCAAACCTCCTACATGCAGGGACATTGCTGTTCCATTGCTGGATCACTGTTTGGCTTTGGCAATGCACCTCAGTCCTGATCTGCACCATCCTTGCCCTTCCAGTCCTGGCCCTTTGCTAATGCTAGGAATTCTAGGGAGAGAGTGACCACTGTTCTGCCTCTCAGGCTGGCATGACAGTGTTGACAGGCTGCAGAAAGAACTGCATCTTCCTTCCCTATGCTGACAGCCAGGAAGGGGGAGGAGGCTTAGTGAAAGTGAATACGATCCATAACAGAGAGCAAGAGATGAAGAAGTGAGCTCCTGTCCCCATGGACTCAGAGTAAGCAAGGCCTGAAGTGCACAGTGCAGGGTGACATTGAAAATATTTTTCACAAACACTGTTTTGTTTTGAATCATCAAAGAGAAAGAGCTTGGAGGAACAATGGGAGCTGGCCCAAGTACAGTGGGAGTACCTGGAGGAACAATGGGAGCAGGACCAAGTACAGTGGGAGTACCTGGAGGAACAATGGGAGCAGGACCAACTACAGTGGGAGTATCTGGAGGAACAATGGGAGCTGGCCCAAGAACAGTGGGAGTACCTGGAGGAACAATGTCAGAATTGGTCCTGCAGGAAGAAAGCTGAGTCCTTGGGAAAACAAAATGCAGCCAGTTTAAAATGCAATTGGCCTGCTCAGAGAATCTAAACTGCAAGACCCACAGCTTGGCTCATTCATCCAAAGCATCACACGCAAAGGCAGAATTCAAAAGGGACTTCACAGTGCTTTCACTGCAGTCCCAGTCTGAGATCTATCCTAGTAACAGAGTGATATATGCTGCATGCTTTGTGAGAGGGAATGACCTAGCCTTTGAATGGGGAGACAAGATGATCTCTTGAGATGTTTTCCATCTCCAACGTCTAGCTGCCCAAAGTAGGGGTGCTGTTAATCACCAACAATCAGCATCCTAAAGCTATTGCTAATGCAATTTCTCTGCTTGACTCTCCCCTTCTATCGAAGCCCATTGGTGGTTCTCTTAGCGACTTACCCCATAAAGTAGAGAGCCCCTCAGCTCCCATTGATTTCAGACTGAAGTATGTGGCAGTGCAGGGGTTCAGCACTAGAAGTGGATGAAAGTTTTCAGTTATGTAGCTTAATTGCTGAAAAATGCTGGTTCAGTTGACCTGAAACTATTCATGAGTTTGACCTAATTTAGTTTTGGATGGGACAAATTTTTTCCAGGCCATCAAACCACATGTGTCTGTATTCCTTTTGGAAACTTGGGGTTACGGCACCTGCCAGCCACGTGGGAGGTAAAGGTTTTAATACCCTGCAGCCTGCTCACTCAAACAGGGGAAGCTCTTGAGTTCAAGTCCCTTTTCTAAAGTAAGGAGTAAACCTGGGTCTGTATGTGAGTGGTTGACCTGTGTCACAAGCCATTTCTCTGTCTCTTCACTGCTATTATTACGCTAGTGAGATGAAAGCATCCTCAATTACAACTTAATCTGTGGTATAGACAATAGTTGCCCCTAAGTTGCCCAGCCATGCAGATTCCCATTAAGCCCCATGGAAGAGCTTAAGACAGCAGCAGGGAGCGATTTCTCCACAAGCCCTGATGTTGCTGGGGCTGGTGGAGGGGAGCCCCTTACTGCTGACCCCGACACACGTCACTCAGGTAAGCCTGAGCCCCAAACCCCTTACCCTACCTGGATCCCTCCAGCCTGAACACCATCCTGCACCCCAATCTCTCCCCAAAGCCTACACTTCCAGCCCAAAGCCTGTACTCTCTCCTGCACCCCAATTTTCAGCCCAAACCTCCCCCAAACCTGGAGCCCTTACTCCTGCACCCCAAACCTCTCATGCCCAGTTCCACTATAGAACTTGCACCCCCCCCCTCTGTCCCAGTCTTAAATCCCTCAACTCCAACCCCTCCCTAGAGTTCACACCCCATGCAGAGACCTCACACTCCTACATGGCAATCCTCTGCCCCAGGTCTGAACCTCCTCCCACACTCAGACCCCTGGGCCCCACCTCTGCTTCAGAGTTTTGTTATGTGCACTAATATGAAGGTGAAATGTCGCACAGTCACTCTGTGTGGCACGTCACCTCCGTATTGCTGCATGTAAGAAAATTCATTCGGCTCAGGGCGTAAAAAATTAGAGGGAATACTGTTAGACATATCTATAATGGGTAGTTAGAGGACTGTCCACACTCAGACCCCTGGGCCCCACCTCTGCTTCAGAGTTTTGTTATGTGCACTAATATGAAGGTGAAATGTCGCACAGTCACTCTGTGTGGCACGTCACCTCCGTATTGCTGCATGTAAGAAAATTCATTCGGCTCAGGGCGTAAAAAATTAGAGGGAATACTGTTAGACATATCTATAATGGGTAGTTAGAGGACTGTATT